TTGCAAATGTTTTATGTCTCTTCAAAAAGCCCAGCTGAGTTGCTGGTATGTGCCTGCTGATGGGGCTGGAGGCTGTGTCATGGGTGCTGAGGGGCACCAGAGGGTGGCTCTGCCACTGGCAGGGATGTGGGGACATCCTCATCCTCTGTACACATCCACCCAAGTGAGTGACACTCTAGGAGGGTTCAATCTGTCCATTGTGGCTGCAAAGCAAATGCTAACACTGCCCTGGAGCCCTGCTACTAACTCTAGAGGATTCTCTGGTTATTTCTGAAGTTTCTCTGCATTTCTCTCTCAGTTTCCCCCACTGCCATGGATCCTGGCTGGGTTTGCAGCCCTATCTCTGTGCCATGTGTCTGCTCCTTGTGAGGAGGCAGAGCCTCCTGCTCAGGGATGGGGCAATTGAAGCTGTCTGAAGCTGCTCTGTGCTGGGCCCTTTGCTCCTCTGTGGCCAAGGGAGAGAGAAGTGCTGGTGGAGGATGGTTCTTCCCATCAAGCTGAGTGAGTTAAATAGCTCTCAAGATATTCCTGCCTCTCTCAGCTGTGTACAGAAGGAGCCTGGGCACCCAGTGCAAGAGAGCCATTTAGGTAATGGGTTCCTCTATTGATGGGGGCCATTAATGGAACAGCCAGCACCACTCAGCCAGGACTCTCCTTGTCAAACCTGTGTCTGCTTTACTGCTTTTGTTTTGTGACACTGGGGGGACAGTGGTAGCTCTGCAGGATGCCCCCCTGACAGGGGGTGTTTGGGGAGGGAGAACAGACAAGTTCTGGGGACAGAGGTTGACAGTCTGCCAGAGAACTCCACCTCTCCAAAAGGCACAAAGGCCAAGGTGGGACAGAGCTACACCATGTTCCTCCTGGCACTCAGCCCTGCTGGAGGCTGTAAGGCTGTCACCTCATCAAAAAGTCCTAAATTATGCTCCCAGTGCCTCTGTCAGCTGGGCTGTCAGCTCTAGGGCACAGTGTGGTGCCCTTGTCTTTACGCTTGTCTGCACCACCCTGACTAACTGTGGGCATGGTGTAAATAACAAACACTAATAAACACTTAATACCTCCCCTCCGTGCTGGGTTTTACAGCAACACACTCAGCCATAGGTCATGGGTGCAATCACATCCCTGTCATCAGTGCAATCTGTCTCCATGTCACAGCTGGACAGGCCTAATTTAACAGAGGTGTTTTTGAGAGCTAGCTAATAAATTGTTTGCTCTGTGTGGTTCCCAGCCCTGCTCTCAGCACTCCCATCACCCTGGTGTGTGGCCTGTGACTGTTTTCAGTCTGTTTTGGAGGGACTCAGGCTTTGCTTGGGTGCAGTTTGTCTCTGCATCAATGAGCAGCTCCACTGTGCACGTGGCTGGGATGTCACACCTGCCAGGGCCAGGGCTGGCAGCCTGTGCATGTGGGGCTGCAGCTCAGCAGTGTGATGTGATCACTGCTCTGTCCCAGGCTGGGGCACAGACACAGGCTGCCTCACAGAGCTCCAGAGCTGCAGAGAGGGATTGTGGCTGATTGATTGTTTTTTGTATCCTTGGAAACTGAAAGGGCATTAAAATTGCATGGTGTGTGCAGTGCTGATGCACTCTGCTCCTTGAAGTGCAGCCTTGGGCCTGGGGATGGCTTCAGCCTCCAGCTGCCCTGCAAAGGGCAGTGCTTTGGGAGAAAAGCTGAGCTACAGCTGGACACCAAACTGCTCAGAGGGAATGCTATCCATTTAGAGGGAATCCAGCCAAGGCCAGGCTGGATGGGCCTTTGAGCAGCCTGGTCTAGTGGAAGGTGTTCGGAATTGAGGTTCCTTTCCAACCCAAACCATTCTGTGAAATACCTTTGTGAATTGCAGTGCTGAGCTCCAGGAGGGTGTCTGGCTCTGAGACATCCCTGACCACAGCTCAGCACCTGCTCTGTTGTGTTTCTCACGGCAGAGTTCCTGTCCTAGAGGAGTTGTCTGCCTCCAGACCATCCCACCCCAGCCACAGGGACTGCTGGGGCAGGGGCCAGGCCTAAGGTGGAGTTCCTGCACAGCAATCAGCACCCACCAGCCCAAGGAACAGGGCTTGCAAAAAGCCCCAGTATCTGCTCAGGGCTTCATCATCTAACACTGAAAGGGAGTGAATATGATCCCTCTGGGATGGAGACTACAGAGAGCACAGGGTAGCAACAGAGTCAATCTCCATTTTTGCCTCATTTTGTCTCAGCTTTTATGCCTTAAAATAAATGTACTCAAAAAGAAGTACTTGCTGCAGTGGCTGATGTGTGGATGTTTGTCCCCAGTGTGCACAGAGCCCTTGGGCAGGGCTATCACCCATGTTTGCTGTACCTAGCACAGGGTGTAGGCCAGTACTGCCTTCGTGAGAGCTTCTCTTGGCTTCCCAGCGTGGTGCTGGCTGCTGGATTGGACCCTGCTTGTGGGGTCACACATGAGCTGCCAGCAGGTGAGAGCCCTGGGATCAGCCCTGCCCTCACCTGTGCTCTGGTGGTTCTCAGGCATTTCTCCCCAGCACTGCCAGCTCTCAGGGGAAAGGGGGTCTCTGGAATTGCCCCCAGGGCCACGGGAAGGAGCCCTGAAGGGCTGTCCCCAGTCCTGAGCTGCCATCAGCCCACGGGGGCTGCTCCCAGTGCTGCTGTCAGGGCACACACACTCTCATGGTGAATCACCTGCACCTGCCTGACCTCAGCCAACAAACCTCATTTTGCACCAGATCTGGGTTAGTGTCTCTCAGACACCAGGTTTTCCATTTTCTGCAACAGCACCAGAACAAAGGCTCTCCCAGGATCTCGTTTGCTCCCACCTTCTCATTGCTGCTAATTAATGCCGTGCCTGCCTAGTCACGCAGTGGGTGTTCATCTTTATGCATGTGTTCACAGAGGATGAACAAAATATCTGCATCACGGGCTCCTGTGAGTTGATTTGCTGGGGAAGACAGGTGCCTGATGCTTCAGGAATTCCTCCAGCTACGACAGGATCTGCTGGGCACCTTGGGGCTCTCCTCAGCAAGTCCCAGTGCCCTGGCTGCCCTTTGTCAAAGGTCACGGCAGGAAATGTCACTGGGCCTGGAGCTGCCCCCGGAGATGCTGCTGTGGGTGACTCAAGGGCGCTGCTGAGTGCCCTGTGCCTGCCTGAGCACAGCCAGAGCTGTGGGAAAAAGGGAATGGAGCAAATGGAGCAACTCTCTGTGTGTGAGCACATGGGGAGGAGAGAAAAACAGGGAAGAGAAACCACAATTGGTTGTCGGCTTCAACTAATGGGCATGGAGTACTCAGAAATCATTCTGTAAAGTGCACCAGATCCCCACAAAGCCTCGCTGGCAATGAGTCACTGGTTAATGTACCACTAACTTGGATTTATAGGTTTAATATTTTTCTGTTGCGCTGTTGCTGTTGCTGTGTAGATTGCTTCATCAATTTTCTTTCCTGTTCTGAGGTAGGTTAAAGTAGAATCTTTTGGGGTTATAATTTTTTAATAAATAGATTATATTTCAAAGAATATTGAAAAAGTTCCTTGCCATTTATTCTTCAAGACTTGAAATGGTCTCTCTAATGTCCTAGGCCAATTGACATGGTGGTTAACTGTCTCATGCCTATATAAATGTCCTTTTTCTGAGGACCTAATGAATGTAACAGCCACTCTCAATGCATTTATTTCAATAGTAGTCATGAAGGAGGAGCTTTGAAATGAAACCATCTTTATTTTTTAAAAAAAACCCCACCAATCTATTAATAAATTTTTAAAAAGTGTCAATATTCATTCTTTCTGTGTCTGACTGAATACAGACCTTTTACTCACTGTTTTTAATAATATACAGCAAATTTTCCCTTCCAGAGATCAAAACTCTGCTGTGGGAAGAGATTTAAAAGTAGTTGCTCAAACTGAGCCATATCCTGTGGAGCCAGGGGAGAGTGGCTGTGTGCTGTGACTCTCCCTGTGTGGGACAGGCTGGCAGAACCAGGACGGGCAGCCCGAGGTGTCTGTGCTTGCACTGTGAGATGTTCAGGGCTGCTCGGGCTCTGGGACACCACACATCACCCTGCTGAGCCTGGAACCCACCCCAGCAAAGTGAGGGAAATGGATTTAAGACTGGTGATATTTAAGTTGCTGGGTACCTCATATCCTTAATTACTAATTTTTGAGACTGTACACACATCGCAAATACACAAACTATACATATACAGACACACAGGTATGTGTGAGCATGTGTTCTTGTTGGGTTTTGTGAGCAGGACCCCTCCTGTTACCACTGTCCCTTTCCAGACAGGCTGGTCCAGACAGGGGCTCTCCAGAAGTGCCAGGATTTCAATGGGAACGGAGCCCCCAGTGCAGCAGTGAGGAGCCCGAATCTCTCCAGAAAAGAGTCTCGGGTTAAAGCACAGAAAGGTGATGCGCACCTGGCTCGGCTCCCCTTCCCTTGGCGGAGCGCTGAGGAAGAGGAGCTCTCCGCGGCCACGGGCTCCCTCAGCACAGCCTCTCCCGGTGCCGGGGATGGCTCCGGTGCGCTCGGCCGGGGCTGCCCCGCACGGTCCCGCCCCGCCCCGCCCCGCCTGGCTCCCGCACCGCCGCGTTCCGGGGCTGGCGGCTCCTCCCGGCAGTGCGGTACCGAGCGGCCGCCATTGCATCACCGGCACCGCGCCGGCCGCGCCTGCAGCCCGCATCCCCATCCTCATCCCCATCCCGCATCCCGCATCCCATCCCGCATCCCCATCACCCATCCCCATCACCCATCCCGCATCCCGGCTCGGCTCGGGCGGGGAGCGCGGGGCTCGGCGGTTCCGCGGCTGCGGGCAGGGACTCGGGCCGGGCTCCAGCGCCGGTTCGGCGGCTCCAGCCCCCCCGGGCCCGCGTAGGGCGCAGCGCGGAGGCGGCGGGGGCTCGGCGGGGCTCGGTGGGGCCCGGCGGGATGCGGCGGTGGTGACGGGCCCTCGGCAGCCGCGCAGGTCCCGCCATGGGCCCCGCCTGAGCGGCGCGGCCGCGGCCGGCCCCGGGCCCGGGCCGGGCATGGGCGGCGCGGCGGCGGCGGCGGGCGGGCGCTGAGGGCCGGCGGCAGCATGGAGGCGATCTGGCTGTACCAGTTCCGCCTCATCGTCATCGGCGACTCCACCGTGGGCAAGTCCTGCCTCATCCGCCGCTTCACCGAGGGCCGCTTCGCCCAGATCTCCGACCCCACCGTGGGCGTGGATTTCTTCTCCAGGCTGGTGGAGATCGAGCCTGGCAAGAGGATCAAGCTGCAGATCTGGGACACGGCCGGGCAGGAGCGGTTCCGGTGAGACCCGCGGGGCCGGGGGATGCGGGCCGGGTGAGGCGTGTGGAAACAAGACAAAGAACAGTCAAATTGGCACCTTTTGTGCCCCCCATTCTCCCCCGCATCCTTCCCCGCATCCCTGGGACCCGTGTCCGCCCCGGATGGCCGCAGGCAGGGGTGCGGGATGTGCAGGTGTGCGGATGTGCAGGGTTGCGGGATGTGCAGGTGTGCGGGATGTGCAGGGGTGCGGATGTGCAGGTGTGCGGATGTGCAGGTGTGCGGGATGTGCAGGGGTGCGGATGTGCAGGGTTGCGGGATGTGCAGGTGTGCGGATGTGCAGGTGTGCGGGATGTGCAGGGGTGCAGGATGTGCAGGTGTGCGGATGTGCAGGTGTGCGGGATGTGCAGGTGTGCGGGATGTGCAGGGGTGCGGATGTGCAGGTGTGCGGGATGTGCAGGTGCGGATGCCGAGGGGCGGCCCCGCTGCCACTGGGAGGGATGCGAGGCCCGAGGCAGCGCTGGGTCCGCGCTTTGCCAGCCCGGAGCTGTCCTTGCATCGGCGGATGCTGCTGGCAGGGAGAGCAGAGCGCCTGCATCCCTGCTTCCCCCGGTGCGGAGGCAGGGCCGGGATGTTTCCCAGGCGAACGCTACGGAACGCAGTGCAATACGCGTTTGGTGCTCTGCTGCGACAGCAGAGCTCAGCTCTCCTCCGTAGGACAGAGAAAGGTCGGGACAAACCTTTGGCTGTGGCTGTGCAGGATGACAGGTGCTTTCTGGAGAGTGCCAGCGCTGCATGGGCACAGACAATCTGGGAGCTTAAGCAACAGTAACCAAGTCTGGATGAAGTAGAATAAAGGCAGCTTGTGGGACCGTGCCAAGTTTCCCGCAGAACTGTGTGGGAAAAGCAGCAGCCCTGGCTGGAGCAGGCTCGGCCCCAGCCAAAGAGGGGCTCATTTTCACAGTGCTCATTTCGAGGGTGTGTGAGTGTACCCGCAGCTCCTGGCCTCCTGTTTGCTTGTCTGTGCCTTTAACCCTGATCCGCTCCTCCATCCTGCTCCCTTGGGATCACTTCCTGTGCTCCACATCTCTGTGCAGCATCAGAGCTTCCACGTCTGTGCAGTAATGACTCGCCTGAGGAATGTTTTGGTTTCATTCAGATGAAAACTCCCCTACCCCACCCCTCTCAGCACCTTCCCTCGCATCTGTGGCACTGGCATCTGGCCCAGGATGTGCAGTAGTTATCCACTGACAGGATTTTCCTGTGCTGCCTTGATGCCTTGCAGGCAAGGAGCTGCTGCTTTATTCTGCTGAGAGAGGAGGTGCTTTAGCTTGCAGTTGCATCAGCTTCCAGCTTTGGCTCTCTGGCTGAGGTCTCTAGAAAACACACCTGAGAGCTGTGCCCTGTTCTGCCGTTGCTGTGAGGAGCAAGAGCTCTCCGATGGCTCCAATTTCTTTTCCTTTGCACATCAGGAGCTCCAGGGCCCTGAGGCTGCTGGCCCTCGGTGCTGGGGCTGACCCAGCCCTGCACTGGGGGTGCCAGCATGGTGAGCTGGTGACCTTCAGAGCAAGGGCAGCTGCACTGCTGCCCTGGGCAGCAGCCTGACAAGGCAGGAAGGGTGCAAGGGGCAGGAATGGTCAGTGACAGTAAATAAACCCCACTGTGCAACTTTGAAATGCCCTTGCCAAAGTGCAGGCTTGAATTCTCAATGTGAAAAGCTGGAGCAAAGCCAGGGGCCTTTATGGTGCACTCTGAAATGTGGGGAAAAAATATAAGGTAAAATCTAGTTTGTGTTTATCCCTTTCAAATTGCTCTGAGCCCTGTGTGATAAATTGTGCCCCATGAAGACAACTCCTGTACTTCCTCCTACAAGGAATGTTTCTTGGCCAGAGACAAGAATTAGCTGTTACTGGAATAAGCGAAAGCCCCTTGCACTTGTCATGGGCCAGAAGCACAATGAAGCAGGTGCTCTCCAGAAACCTGAAACTTTTTTTGTCATTTGTCAAGCTCAGGGGGTTTTTGAAGAGGGGAATCTGTAAGAATGAGCTCCCCGTTATCAGATTTGAGCATTTCCCGTCTGATTTACATAGTTTCACAGATGCCCCACGAGGACAAAACCACTGTAGTTATTTTGCAAACACCTTGGCATTCTCTGAGCGGCAGCTGTGTTACAATTTTGCTCTTCCTGACCCCCTGTTGTGAGCTCTTTCACTCTCCATAAATTAGTAGCAATTTCTGTGCAGTCAAGGCTTAAATTGCAGTTAAACATGTGTCACTCTCTTTTGGCAGACCCGGCCCCAGCACATGCTGCCTGGGGCAGCTTTGAGGCTGCTTTGGAGCTGGAGAAGAGCAGGGTTCAATTCTTGCCAGATCCAGCAGGTTTTGCCCATCCCTCGTTGCTCAGATACTGCTGTTCCCTTGTCAGAAACGTGATGTTGTGTAATGCTAGCAAAAGCAAAAGCCTGTCAGCCCTCTCTCCCTGGAGCTGTGTCCCACCACCTACAGAAGAGCTGTTTCCTCCCAGCCAGCAGCTCTGCCTTGGCTCAAAGGGGAATACTCAAACAAGCAGGCCCTGGCTGCAGGAGTCCCACCATGAGCAGGGGACAGTTCCCCGACATTGTCTGTATGTTAAAACTTGGCCAAAGTAGCTGCAAGTCCCTGCTCTACACTGAATCAGTGTGTGTGTGCCAGGAGGAGGGAAGGTAGAAACCTCAGAAGGGAACTGGGGAGGGATGTGCAGCATGAAGGCACTATGCTTTGCCTCCTGCAGATTGGTGAGGAAATAGTTGTGGAAAAGGCTTTAAGAAAAGGCACTGAGACCTTCACCTGATTTTACCTTGAAGCAGCATTCAGCTTAGATCCCATCATGTCTTTCAGAAGTACCTGGGGCATTGTCGTTGCTGGCAGGAGGAGCCAGGGCTGATGGCACAGAACACAAAGGAGAAGCAGAAATGTCTGTGACAGTGTGGGGGTGAATTCAAAGTGCCAATGTGTGTTTGCAGCTGGCCAGATAGTAAAAGGCAGATCTAATTCCCTCAGTGCCAAATGTGCAGAGTGACTATTGTCCCTAAGCCAAACAGTTGGAGAGGAGAAATTATCCAAACATTGCCAACTATGTTTTTTCCTCTGCTTCTGGCTTTCTTCAGTTTTGTCTGTGAATTTTCACCCATTACTGTATGTTTATCAATAAAACAATTCTTGAAAACTCTAGTTCATCCTTTCTTGGGGCAATTTTGACAGGTACCCAGACTATAGGACCAAATGTCACCTAACAACAGTCTTGTATAGCCAAAAAAAAGACTGTCCTAAGGTAAAAATGCAGCAGTGCTTGTATTACTCCAGCAAGGAAAGTTCAGGCCTGAGTGTGAATTCCTTCAGGGACTGAAATCGATCGTTGCTTCTGGATTTAGAGCAAATCCATGACTTGCAGAAACACCACTGTTCATCAGCTTCTTGGTTTCCCCTTGTGTAGCAGTCACTGAACTGTAGCTCTGCTTTAGCCCCATGGCCTCAGCTTTGCTCCTTTGCCCTGAGTTTGCTGATTTCCTGTGCTGCTTCTGGCAGCCTTTGGCTGGCCTGGCTCGGAAGAGCTGTGGGAGGTGTATTCATTTTCCAGCCTGCAGTTCCTGGGTCCTTTTGGTGACCATTTAATGTCAGTATTTGGCAGGAACGTGACCAGTGTTAGTGCAGATTCTCCTTGGAAGCTCTTGTATTATTTTGCTGTTTCTCAGTCAGTGCATGAAAAGTACCAGTGCCCTGTCACTGCAATGTCACTTTAATCCAGTTGTGTAGAGGAGGAAGCTGTAGGGATGGGTGGATGTCTCTATCCCAGGGCTCTGGGTATATGGAGGGGAGCTACAACCCCATGGTCAGCTTTTCTAGATCTCTGACCTCCTGCTTTTATGTGGCTGTCAGAGAGGGGTGTTTGGTTCCAGTTGAATCCTCTAATTTGTCACAGTGCTTCTAAACCTGTGGGTTAGATGAGGTGTCCAGAGAACTGGTATGGTGGGGGTGGGACTCAACAGCCAGGGACAAACAGAAATCTATGAGAGGATAAAATAGTGGGGGGGATTTTGAAGAGAGCAATAATCAGTGGGGCAGTTACTCAAGTGTGAAATCTTTAAGCCAAAATAACTTTTCCTTTTAAACGACAAGCTCTACAGAGCACAAGCTGGAAGTTCTAAGGTGTTTCCTGGATGGCCTTCTCTTGCCCTGTACTTGCAGGGTGGTAATGCTGCTTTCTTAGAGGACATGTGTTCAGAGAGCTGTGAGCTAACTCTGCTGTGGCTCCTTGGCTTGCAGGTCCATCACCAGAGCCTACTACAGGAACTCGGTGGGAGGGCTGCTCCTCTTTGACATCACAAACCGCAGATCTTTCCAGAACGTGCACGAGTGGCTGGAGGAGACCAAGGTGCACGTGCAGCCCTACCAGATCGTGTTTGTGCTGGTGGGGCACAAGTGTGACCTGGACACGCAGCGGCAGGTGACGCGGCACGAGGCGGAGAAACTGGCTGCGGCCTACGGCATGAGGTACATCGAGACCTCGGCCCGCGACGCCATCAACGTGGAGAAGGCCTTCACCGACCTGACCCGGGACATCTACGAGCTGGTGAAAAGGGGGGACATTTCCATCCAGGAGGGATGGGAAGGGGTAAAGAGTGGCTTTGTCCCGAACGTAGTGCACTCCTCAGAAGAAGTGGTGAAATCAGATAGAAGGTGCTTGTGCTGAGCTCCTCTAGGGAGGCCGTGGTGATGGACTCTACTAACCAAGTGTTCTTTACTAAGTGAACTCAGTGTGACAGAGGGGAGAGCCACGCTCCCGCTGTGAACAGCCTCCCACGTTGTTTTGGACACCAGGACAGACCCTGGAAAGAAATGTTCTGTTCCAAATAACCTTTCAGAACTGGGGGCTACAAACCTGAAGGAGAGTGAGTGAGGGTGCATGTGGATGTTGTAAGGAGACAGGAAGCAGAAATGAGGGGCTGCACAACACAGGAGAGGGTATGCAGAGCTGAATGGGCTGGTACATGCCAGGGTACTGTACATGTTCTCTTTTAAGTAAACCCATAGCTCCCTGCTGGCTTTTGGAGCCACAGGATGGATACTCAGTCGTATGACAAACAGGCAGACAGAGAGAAAGCAGGAGGATGTTTTGGTTTGTGTCAGCTATTTCTTTCCAGGAAGGTCTAAAGGCAGCACAGATACCATTTCCTCATAAGGTCAGTTCCACAGGAGTTTACTGACATGGTATGCACACTTCGGAGTTTTCTTTCTTATGTTCTTGAGCCTAGTCCGATAGCAAAGAATATTTTGTGGGGTTTAAAGAGGAAAACAGTACTTATTTGATTGGTAATTAAAGTTCAAATTATTCCTCCCTTAACAGTGTTTTTCTTGCTGTGCTGAACCAAGACTCTAAGTGGCAACTCTTGCTGCAGTAGAGATTATTCAATGCAATTTTTACTCATTTAGTGCCTGGGTGAGTACCTTGAAAGTACCCCAAGTTCAGGCTTTCCAGCAGAATTAAGTAATCAAGAGCATAAAAAGAGAACCATGTCCTCAGGTGTTATGTGTTAACACTGGGGTGTTGCAGCCATGTGGGACACACCATTTCTGACTCAGTAACAGCACTGCTGACCTTACCAGCCAGGTCACAAGGAGGAATGGAAACGAAGGAGGGAAAAAAGAAACCCAACAAAATAAAAAACTTGAAAAGCTTAACTCAGGTGCATCAGACATCCTAAAAGGTGAGATTAGCTCTTAAAGAAATTAAATAGCATTGAAAGCAACAGCTTCCATCAGTACTTTCTGCTGTTAAAATGTAATTTTCTGTCTTAACCTCTGTGGAAGAGAACTGGCCCTGGGAAGGTGGAACACACAGCAGGAGTGTCTGAGCAGGTGGGAAGGAAAGCCTCAAGACACACTCAAGGGTAAAATTTGTTTTCCTCCATGTTTTAGTTTGACAAAAGAGGATCCATCTCAGGCTGGCCATCATGGGATGGCAGCCACATCACAAAAGCTGTATGTAGGTGGATGTTTTCCGGGAATGCCATTCACCACTTAAAAGCTTTGCTTCTGCCAAATTTTAACCCAAGCTTTTGAAGTGCAATGGGGTGACTGTGCTCCTGTAGCAAATTAGGGAACCTGAGCCTATTGAAAGTGAGCAAACAAAACTATAGTGACTTTTTTTACTTGTGTTTGAAAGCTTTATACTGCAATGGGCAGGATGGGGGATTAGGTAAAAGCCACAGGAAGCATCTAGTGTTTATTTTTGGCCTCTGAGTAGAGAAAAAGAAAATATTTGTTCCAGCTTTATAATCTACAGAAATACAGGTGTTGATTGCTGTTGAGTTCAGACTGTTTCTCCTTCTGAACCCATTCTCACAGTTTGCAGCAGCACATGGGCAGCTCTGTATTAAGAAAAAACCTGTGATTTCCATATTGAAGCTGTAAAAAACCCAAACCCACAGAAAACCCAACCCAGCAACCCAAACCCTGAACACTTTTGCTTTTGGTGTTCTAGGAACAATTTCAGTTCCTGGGCTCTGCAGGGGAGCAGCAGAGCTGCACCTGCTGGGAGGGCACAGGGAGCAAATGCCAGGAGGGGGTGGCAGTGCCTGGTGCTCCTTGGTGAGCTTGGAATGGGCTGTGAGTGCATCCAACAGCTCCTGCTCAAGGGCAGTGAGTGCCAGGCACTTGTGCTTGAGTTGAGTGCCCTGAAGATTAAAAAGAGAAAAGGAAAAGTGTGCCCTTGACAAAATCTGTTTCTGGGTGAGCAGAGGTGGGTGCAGGGAGCACCCCTGAACTGGGCAGATGCCAGGGCAGAGTGAGGGGTTTGCTCAGAGCAGCTCCGTCAGTGGCATTGCCCAAAGGCAGGGACAGACAGTACCAAAGGGTCAGTTTCTTTGTTCCCTGGATGGAAAGTCCACCTAGCAGCTGCTTCAGCTTTTCAGGGGCCAGCTGGACACTGGCTGTGTCTGGCTGAGCCCCCAGGGGCACAGAGCCAGAGTGTGACACGAGGGGCAGTGAGGAGTTGGATCAGACATTTTAGCAATAGTCAAATTCTGTAATTCCCTGTGTGAGAGCCTGGCCAGAGGGGAAAGATCACTTTTCATGAGACAGACAATATTTTATTTAATGGGTTTTGGACATTCCCCGTTACTGCTCCCAGGGAGAAATCCCAGAAAGCCTAAGCCAGAAAGTGCATTCTGGCCTTCAGAGTAATCTTCAATTTAAATACAGAAGTGTTGTAATTCTAAAGAGGAACAGTACAGAAGAAAATGTACATGGTCTTAACTATTTAGAGTTAATAAATTGTTATATTAAATGATAGAGAAATCATTATCTACATCTTTTTCTAATTCCTTGCATTTTCTAGACAGCTTATTAAAATATAGGAAATGTAGATTCATCTGTACAAAATTTGGAATGTTTTTTCTAAGATGAAGAACTTATTGGATATGCTAAGAATTCTTTTCTAACAACTGGTTTTAATGCTTTGACTTAGAGGGACTTTGAGAAATCAGAAGGTGATACCTCTCACAGGCTAAAGGTCAGGGGCTCTTAGACTCTAGGACAAAAAGAGAAAAAAAAACAAGCAAAAGCTAGCTTTCTGTGGTGTCTACCACATGTTAAAAACAATCTGCATGTTAAACTGAACTTGCTCAGAACCTCCAGAATAAAAGCATACTTTACACTGTCCTCGCTTTGTTATGCACTGTAACGAAATGTGAAAATAATGCTGTATTTAGCTGTCTGTATGTGACTGAAAATATGCTTGTATTTAGCAAAATGGTTACTACGTGATAACGTGAAATTCAAAACTTGTAAAGAAACTTTGGTGGTTTTATTTTTTCCCTTCCCCCCTGCCCATTCTCTCTTAGTGTTCCCTGCTCCCTGTCCCTGCTCTGTATTCCAGCCAGGGCTGGATCCACCATTCCAGGCACTGCCTCACTCTGCAGAGCCTGTCCTCTCCTTGCTGAGAAAAGCCAGGCCAGCTCCTCTGAGAGAACACCACCCCCTGCTCCCAGCAGTTGCAGCCACCACGGCCTTGGCCCCTCCAGGAGGCCTCTGCAGGTCTGGTGGCAGCAGCAAAGGGCAGAGCAGGCCCAGGCAAGGATTAGCCATGGAGCTCATCTGGGAGTTCTGGGGTTTTTTATTTACCTCAGATCAAACACACAAACACCAAACCCTGAGTTATGATGGCCACAGCCACCTCCCACTGCCCAGGAACAGAGCCCTTTGAACACAGGAGCCATTTCAGCTCCAAGCTGTCACCCTGTCCCCTCTGACATGAGGCAGCAGCTTCCTGGCAGTGGCACACAGCTGATTTTGCTCGGTTCTGCTTTTGCTGTGCAAAAATGCTTAACTGGTCATTTTGTTGTGCACAACAAAGGCAATTGCTGCCTTAGGACCAGCCAGGGGTGGGGGGGAGGAGCACAGCCTGTTGGGATCTCATTAATCCAAACTGAAGAAAAAACTGTGAGAGAAATCAGGCTGTGTGTGCAGCTGCCTTTCCATCCTTGCTGATGCTAGAAAAGGAAAATGGAGAGCAGCAGCCTGAGCAGTGCCACATCCTGCTGCTGTGCAGACACCTGTTGGAGAGCACAGCAGGGCTCCAGGTTCCTCTGCTGCAGCCACAGCCACTGAAACAGCAGCATCACCCTGGGGAAGGAAGAGATGAGCCCAGGCACTGCTGAGCAGGGTTTACCTGCTCTCTGCCCTTCCCTGCAGCTCACTTTGTGACAGGCACAGTGCTGGTGAATCACTTGCTTTCAGCCACCAATTCAGATGTGCTGACTCACACTCCCCCTTTCATTCACACCAGCATCCAGCAGCCACACTTTTCACGTCTGCTGCTTCCACGGAATTTTTCACTCCCCCACGCCCAGTTAAGGGAGGGAAACATTATAGAAGATCACACATCACATTCATGACTTTCACACAAAGAAAAATGCACAAAAACAGCTGTTTGCCACAACTGTTTAGTTTTACTATTTTAATATCATGAAATAAAAGTACAAAAAATTTACAGGTATATTGTTTCTTACATGAAGATTGAACAGTTAACATTTGCATTTATTTTGCAGTGAAACCTGTACTCTCAGTCACAGAATGTGATTATTAGCCACTGACATCACCACTGAGCATTTCATTTTAGAAAGAAACTGCAAAGGTAAGAGGCAACAATCTCGCAAGGCTTTGTAAGGACCAGAAAATACTCCAACTGTACCAGCAGAGGTCATGCTCCAGTCAGCCTTCCCGACCCAAGCCAGGTTTCCCACCTGGCAGCCTGAGTTCAGGCACACCTGGGCCAGGGGCTGGAAATGGGAGGCTCTCACAAGCTGGGGGCTCTTGGGTCACTATTCAGTGCCTTCCCTGAAATAACCAACGTGGGCACAGGTATGGAAAACAAGGGGTGAGGCCTGCAGGCCTGACATGCCCTGAGCTGCTCACTCCCTTCCCACTGCTCTGGGGACAATCACAAACTGCTGCCTGTGAGGTGCTCAGAGCTAACCCAGCTCACCCAGAGTTACCACGAGTTTATCCAAAATGGATACCCAGGAATGCCTGCAGGCTGGTGCTACCATGAACTGACCGAAACAAACCCCAAGATTCCACTCTATGGTTGTTGTTTCCTAGAGCATTACAGCTGCACATCTTCCCAGCCCAAGTCAAAGTTAACTCCATCAGCTGTACAGAGATGAGAAAGAAAAACCCTGCATTGCTTTAGCCTGTGAACATGTCAGGCTCCATTTCATACATGCTCCTCAAGCTTTTCAGACAGGCTTTCAGGTAGAAATTTATTTATGATGGACTGGTCTGATCAAAATACTACATCCTTTGCTGGACTGTGTGGTGCCTTTTCAAAGAATTCATTTCATGAAGCATGCATGAAACCAAATTTTGAGTTTACAAATAAATAAAATGGTGCTCACCATTAGTTTTTATATATTTTACCATTTACTGAAATGCTGAAAGTAACTCAGTCCTGAATGAGGTTTGGGGGTGTTTAAATAAAAAATACTTGGAAATTGAAACCACATTTAAAATTGGAAAAACTATGCTTTGTTTTTGGATGGGTCTTGCTTGTTTCTTCTCTTTACGTCCCAATTATAAACTCTAGCCATATCTGAGGGTGTGGAATTAAGGAAACAGCTCATGCTATCAGAAAAGAGGAAAAAAAAGATTTTTAAAAAAGGAGAAAGAGCAGTTTACAGAGCTGGCCTGTAGTTACAACAGTCAGTACAGAAACCATTTCATGAAAGGGCTGACCTGGTGCAGAGCTTCAGCTCTCAGGAACACTGGTAACTGTTGGTAACTGCAGTATTTAGATCATTACCTAAAAAACCTCCAAAAAGATATTGCAGAGAAACACAATTTTAGTTTTGCCTAACTCTTTGCTGATTTCAAGCTGCCCATATCAGCTGTATTTGCCTCTTTCAGGCATCCCAAACTCCTGCTGCACTAAGACATATCAAGTATCAACCTGAAAGAACAAGCAGTTGTGCCTTCATTAAACTAAATCTCATGTTTCAGTTAATAGCTACACTCATTAAAATAGTTTTAAACTAGAAAGTATAAAAAACAACCCCACACACCCAGGAGGTGGTTCATGACAGTATAAAGAAACTTTAAAAACACTGAGCACAGCCCAAGCCAGTCCCTTGCTTGCTGCAGCAGGCTTGTGCTGCTGGAGGCAGCTGCAAAGGCTGTGATGGGCAGCAAAGAACAACGTTCATGTGCTCTAGAGGAAGGGTCCCTGTGGTGACCCTGTGGCTTCAAGGTGGTCACCTGGCATCAACCCAACCTTCCAGCTCACTCTGCAGCCAGTCTGGGCTGCAAGCACTGCAGCAGATTTCATCAGGACATACACACAGGTTTTGCTACCCCTCACACACCAACCTCCAACTTAGCCCTGCCAACACAATATTCCATCACATTGCTGGGACAGTAAAGTTCACAGGTGCTACAGAATTTTGAGGCAACCAGTCTAAGATAAAAACAGATCAGAAAGTTGATTGTTACCTGGATGTTGGCTTTCAGATACATCTCCTCCACCCCATGAATGAAAAGGATACTGACTTCTGTAGTGGTGAACTGATCTCTGAGAAAATCCAGGTCTTCCTCTAGAAGATCGAGGTTTTTTGTGGCTGTTGACAAATTCTTCTCTAACAGAGCCTGAGCTTCATCAATATCATATTCAAGCATCACATTGGCCTGAAAAAGAAAGATTGAGAAAAGCTTTTCATCTTGCACTGTAAGGACTAAGCCCCACCAAGTGTATTTTAGACTGTTGTTCAAAACTAATCCTGTTAACAACAGACTGTCCTGACAGGCCAAGCAAGATTCAGGACAGGCAATGCCCAAATCCACTTGGGGCCTCCACCCCTTCAGTAACTGAGCAATAAATCTCTCTAGTGACTTAAAGTTAAGCTCTCTTCCTATAGCTAAGCAAGAAGGGATTTCTTCCCCTGGGGATCACATTCAGCCTTTCAGGTATTAGCATCTCATCCTCACTGTGTTTGAAAAGTGAGACCTCACATTTCTTAGCAGCACCTTTCAGGTGCCACACAACTCTAGAAACAGTTTTTGTTGGATTCAAGATAAACCTCAGGCTCTGTGTGGATCTCTGACAAACAGCTGGCACTGTCAGTAACAACAGCTACTACAGGTAGTAGAGATACAACAGATATAAAAGTCCTCTCTGATGCTGTGGTGATGGTTTTTAATCCACACATGGTTGTTTCAGTAAGAAGCTACCACAGGAAGAGATAAAAGAGCAGTGTCAGGTGAAAATGCACCAGTGAAGCTTTGTCCTCTTCAAGAACTGTGCCCTGAATGGAGGCACAGCCTGTGACTGACAGCACCCACAGAAGGCTGCACTGAGCTGCCAGAGCTGGATAAGCTGCTCTCTAAAGCAAGTGGAGGACAGAGATCCCCAGGAACAGTGACACACACACAGCCCAACACAGAGTGTAGGCAACAAGCAGCAGAAAGGCAGAAGGCCAAGAACAACTAAATAAAATTGATTGTGTGTGGCATTTCATTATAGCTTTTCAGTGTGAACTGTCAATAAGATGAACCTTCTCTGATGTTCTGTTAGAAAATGAACCTGGGATGTTCCATGAAAGTCACTGTTTATGAATTCTGAAGACTCCTAATAGTAACAGCTATCAGAAATTTTTTTTTCCTTTTATGATAGAAGTGGGGAAGGTTGGGAGCAACTGTCCAATTAGTCTGGATGGTTCATGTGTCCACAGTGCTTCGGTCCTAACCAAGAGGTTTTGCTTGGCAGCCAACTCTGGGATTTGGGAACATCCATGATTTAAAAGTCTCAAAATAAGCATCAGCAGATTAATCTCCACATATAATGAAGCCTCTAAATACAAAATGATCCAACCTTAGTGCTTAAGTACTTAGGAATCTGGGTTGTGAATGCTGATCCCAGCAGGCTTTAGTGCAAAGTCTTCTCTAAATGCTGGCAGATACCTGTGAGCAACAGAAATCCCACCTTTCCCTACAAAGGTGCATGAAAAGGGAAAGCTGCTGAATACAAATTACATAGAGAAGATGGGAAGCTACTTGCCAAACTAAGTTATTTTGCTGGGCAAATTTCCATGCCAGGCAATGTCATTAATTTGAACCAAAAAGTGACAGAAATGGTAAGGGAAACACAAACAAGGTTTTGGAAACACTAATCCGGCAAAAACACAATTCTCTGCAGTCTTACTGTTCAGGAACCAAACAGAATGGAACAAGAAATCTTCTCTAACACACTGAAGTGGCCTGGTTAGATGTGCTCTGCTGCCAGGGCACAGCACCACCATGCACCCATCAACAGAACTGTGCCCACTACAACCAGGGCAGACAGCAACCAAAACTCTCTTTTATAAGTTATTGAAATAGTTTCAGAGAAAGTTCCATTTTACTTACCCCCAACCACAAACAAACTTTATCTGTAGGAGGAACTGAAGCTTTGCAGTAGAGATTATCTGCCAATAAAAATCTGGTTTCCATTGGATGTGTGGAATCCTTAAACAAATAATAAAATTTACAATTGTTAGTTTCACTGGAAATATGTTAAAGACATAAAACTTAGAATAAAGAGCACACTTTTCTGCTTTCTGCCATTGATACAGTAATAACTTGTGTTATTACTGTACTAAATTCTACATAACTTTACTTCAACACTAAACTTAGAGCTCCAAGAATAATGCATTTTTTAAAGATATATTTAAAAACAATACAGAAATCTCTATAAAGAATGGAGATGAAGTCAAAGCTTAGCTGCAATCTATACACTATTAAAAACGAAGTTTGCATTACAAACATTAACTGGTTTTGAACTAGCTTTCAAAAAGTACTACATACCTTTAAAAATAATTCTGTTATTTATAAAGGCATATTAAGTGTGCTCTCCAAAACATTTCTTGCAATGTGTTCTGTTAGGGTGGAAAGGTAGTTAGCTTTTCTCATACTCATTAGATATTCAAAATAATTTACCTTTTTCTTCTGCATGTGTTTTAAAATTTCTAATGTCTGTTTAATTTCAGGAATCTGACTTTTTAGCCTGTGAATTAACAACAGTCATAATTTATTATTTTACAGAGACACAAAGTTTCCTAAACAAGTGATCACTTTTATTATACAGTCCACCCTCCATTTTAAAACTTGTTAACAGCTTTTTCCAGCTTACAAAAGCAGGTTTGAAAGACATGGCATGTAAAGGCAGCTCAGCTCCAGCTTCACCTGCCCCTCACAACAGCGAGGCTGGCTGGCTTTGGAAGCACAGCAATCTCCTCAGCTTCCACATGGAACACCAACAGTGACAGTAACACACCCCCCTGCACTAAAACACTACATTCCAAATATCTGTCATCTCCCAGAGGACAGGGAAACCTCAGCAGAAATACAGGGTGAAACCACTGCAGGTAAAACAAAACCAGGGTGTTTTTTCTGAGGTTCATGGACTATTCTGACAGTGAGAGCCACAAGACTCTGCACTGTTCAAGCAAAAGCTCCCCAGAGCTGAGGGCACTGCTCTCCCTGACAGCCCTGGCAGAGGCACTGGCATACCCAAGGCCTTCTGGGCCACCAGACTTATCATTTAACAAACAGAACTGTGCTAAACATTTCCCAAATCTGCAAAAATTACAACTTACCTCCTTTTCTTCTGAGCAAGATTAAGTTCCAGAAATTTATACTTCTGATACTGCTCATCCAACTTCTTAAGAACTACATCTGCTGTCTCATTTCCAGGCTGTTTCATAAAAGAATCTACATCTTCCTTTAAGGGGAGAAAGAAACCCTCAGTGTTAGAAGAGTTTTATGGAAATCCTAGACACAGACATGCTATCATCTTACTGCAGCTACATCTGGAGGGGGTTTGAACTGGAAACAAAGCTTCTTTCTGGACTGGAGTACGAAAGCATTTTGGTTTTGTTCTTAGTCATGTCTTCATTTCCCCCTCCCTGCTTTAGGGAACTAAGGGATAGGTGCAAGGATTCCCTTATAACCACATGTGTGGGTACATGGTTAGTGGTGCTTCCTGTCCTGATGTCAAGTGCCACCTCACAGGGGTGGGTGGGTGTCCATGGGGCATGGCTGAGCCTGGGTTTCCTACCTGTAAAGCAGGGATGATGCTTCTCTGTGGCTAACCAGATTCTGAACTATTTTGGATAAAACTGATGAAGGAAAAGAGCCTGATCAATGACAGGCTCTTTTCAATAACAATAGTTATTGATCAAGCATGTTGTGGCAGAGGAAGATACAATGGGGGGAAAACAGAGGTATCTGCTCAGACAGGCACCATGGAAGTGAACAGCCTGGTTTCAGAAGCTCCTTCCATAGTTAGCAGGAAGCCACAGAAACCCCCAGAGAACAACTCCAGCCAGTCCTACCATCAGCTGACAGTGAGAGCCAGGGACTGGCAGGAAAAGCTGCCAGAGAAGAAAGGCCTGAGCCAGCAAGGATGTCAAGCTTGGCATGTGCCTCCTTCAGAAGCCCAGGAAGCAGCTCATCTGCTGCGGCCAGTGTTCCCAGCTGCTGAAAGGTACATCAGGCCAGGCCATGCATTTCTGGCCTCAGCACCATGTACACACAATTCCAGACAACCCCACCCCCCCAGTGAGGTAATTCTGCCCTTGTCTACACAGCTCAGTAAAATCTGATGGAAGCCCTACCACAGGCCTCTTCAGCTCCTCCTTTTGAACTTGGTGTCTCCATTCCAGAAAATGACTGTAATATGTTACTAAAGTGATATCAGAGATGGAGCTGCTCCTCCTCATAATGATGCCCTAACTCTCTTGGCTAAAGAAACTCACTAGGAAATCACTGAATCTGGTAAGGAGTCCCTGCCTTCCTTATCATGAAGGAAATCTGTAGCAGAACATGAACTCTTACACAGAAGCAGCACTGTCCAGATCCAAACCCAAGAGACCACACCTCAGACTGCCTGAAAACGCCTCGAGCTACCTCATAGCATTCCTGCCTCTGGATAAAGCTCCCAGAGAAGCCTTCAAAAAGAAAGCAAGGATTAGGTTGGGGAAAGTGTTGTGGAAGTGAGGCCTGAGGATAGTGTGAAATGGAACTCCCTCTTGTGGAGGCAGCTGTGCTTGTTTAAACCACCGAGGGAAGAGCAAAAGCAGGGGCAGCAGCTCCCCCACACCAGAGGCACCCAGCTCTGCCTCAGCCCCCACCTGTGTGGGCACAGGGACAGGACACCATTCACATCCTCCTGAAGCAAGGATGCTGAGAAGTGAATCCAGAAGTAAATCCAGGCCCCTACATACTGGTGATTTCCTTCCACTACATCATGTCCCAGCTCAAGGTGAGCTCAGATTTCCTCCCAGGGTGTTCCTGCTGGGGCTTCCAAGCCTGGTCAGGCTCTTGTCCCACCTGCCCGTCTGCAAGGCTCAGGCACAGTCACTTCTTTAAGCTTGACTAGAGCAGCTCTGAGGCACAGCTGGCTGCCAAAGCCATTAGGATCCCCACTCTGGTGTGTTCCACAGCACCACTGCAGAATTACAACACTGACAGCTTCTGCAGGGACCTGCCAAAACTCATCTGTGTCTTTTTAGGAAGAGAATTCACTGGCAAAGCAGCATTTTGCAAAGCTCAAGCCAAGGCCCAGGAATGCTCTGCAGAAGCCTCAAGTGCAGCAGGACAGCACATTCCCACGTGTCCCTGGGGTTCCCTTCTGAGTGATGACCCACATACAGAGCTGCAGGCACTCACTCTGCAGAGCTTCATCACCTGGGGGCATGTGCAGAGAACAGGACAAGAGACACCCACTGCAGCCCTGCAGCCTCACACCTGCTGAAGGAGGCACAACAAAGAAGGCATTTCTGTTGGAAATGTCTGGGCAACAGCTCAAAACCACCACAGCTGAAACTTCTGTCTTGAGAGTTTGTTATCCAGTAAAACCCTCTTCTTAACACTACTTACTCTGAGTGTTGAACATCACTTGGAACCTGGAGAGGGACAGGAGTGTGCAGAACAACTGCCTCAGAGAAGGCATGAGCCATAAATCGTGTGAGGAGCCTCTACTGAACCAAGACACTGACAAGAAACAGCTCTGAGGACAAGATCCACAGTGGGACTGCCCATGCAGCATGTGGGGGAAAATGGCAAGCAAGAGACCAGCAAGTCTTTACATGTTTTTGAAACAGAAACCTATTTTCTGAAATAAAAAAAAGCTCAAGTAAAACCTACCCTCAAGACAGTATTTTCACTCTGCAGAGCAGAATACCATTACAACTTCTCAGTGCAGGCTTGTTTTGAATAAAAGAAAATCTATTTTAACATCTACATCCATGTACTCTATGATCACCATTGAGGATCTCTTCTGCAGACACACCTGTATTTGATCAGAACACCTCTAAAAACTGAGAATTAGGGAGCTTCCAAGATGTTCAGATCCAGAGATTATGAAGATCCACAAGGTTTTAAACCAAAGAGAAGCACAGGACTCAAGCACAGGACTCAGGCACCGCCCCAGTACTTCTGGAGCCACGTGATACAGCACACAAGATACTTCAGACCCAGGTACTGAAAGGAAACTACATGGAACCAAACACAGCAGCTACAGAGGCAGCCACCAGCACGGCATGAGGGATGTGACAGATGCCCTCAGAGTGTTTGCTGAGGCTGTTTGTGTCCTGCTTCCTGCCAGGGTGGCCACCCTAACTGCAGAGTCAGCAGAGACCACAGGTTCTCCTCTATCAGGGTCAGTGAGGTCTCACAGGGCAGCTGAAGACATGGCCCTTCCCTTTCACTTTCATCGTTGCTGGTCTCTCATGAGGCATGGAAGGAAGTTAGCTGGAAGAAGCAATGTATTTCCAGCCCAGTAAGGATTTATCAGATCCTAATTATTGTTAAAAAACCTTAAAGGAAAAGGAGGAACTGGATCACTGGAAGTAAATGCACTGCACCTGTCTGGTCAGGTCCTATGCCCAGACAAGACACAGCAGCAGTATGAGCACTGCATCTAAAAACACCAAAATGCAAGTCAAACAAATGTATCTCTATAAAAGCAGTTGTATCAGATGGGGCAGAGATCCAACACTTCCCAAGATCCCCAAGGCAGCTAGGTACAGCCACTGTGATCAATAGTTATTGATCAAAGGAAATAAAACAGCAATCAAGACTGTGTACCAAGAGTGAGCTCAAAGTGGACAAGAGATGATTGTGAGATGATGCCACTGCATCAGTCATCGATTCCTGCTTTTCAACCCCTCAACAGAAAAATCAAACCCTCGGAACATCAGTTTTCAAAGCTGAATAAACAAGTTCGGCCTGTTTTCCAAAGATACACATTTGCTGGTTTTCAAGAACACACAGGCGCTTCTGAAAAGTGAATCTCCTGAGCAGTGCAGAACCTGATTAAGAGAGGAAGCTGCAGGGGAAGGTGTTCGGAGCAGGGCACGTTATCCATGCAGCAGGGGCGGCCAGGCGTGCCCCGCCCGGTGCGCGGAGGGCTCTCCCCGCACGGGGCTCACCGGCAGTGCAATAACGCGGCACTGCTGAACGCGGGCGGCTCGGGATGGAACAGGGAAATCACCCGGGAAAAGGCCCGGACTGAGGCCGCGCAGGGCCTCCGCCGCCCTCACCCCGGTACCGCCCGCCCGCCGAGGTGCCGCCTCACGGGGCCGGGCCCGGCTGGCGGAGCGCAGCCCCCACCCCTCGGCCCCGCACCGCATGAACGCCGCCCCGGGGATGCCCAGCCCCACTGCCGGGACCCTTCCCCAGGAACCCCGCCCCAGGGCTGCCCAGCCGCGCTCGCCAGCCCCGCTCACCACGAACGCCGCCTCGGGGATGCCGAGCGGGCCGCGCTTCCCGCCCGCCGCTGCCGCCGCCTCGCTGCCTCCGGCCGCCGCCATTTGGGAACGGACGGTGCATGCGCGGCGTGCGCCACCGGCGTCATCGCGTCAGCGCCGAGCGGGGCGCGGGCACCGCCCATTGGCCCAGCAGCGTGAGGGAGCGGGGCAGGAAGGGAAGGCTCCGGCAGGAAGGGGCAGGCTCTGCTATGAAAGGGAGAGATCCGGCAGAGAGGGGCGGCTCCACTATGAAAGGGAGAGATCCGGCAGGAAGGGGCAGGCTCCACTATGAAAGGGAGAGATCCGGCAGGAAGGGGCAGGCTCCACTATGAAAGGGAGAGATCCGGCAGAGAGGGGCAGGCTCCACTATGTAGGGGAAGACTCCCGTGTGAAAGGGAAGGATCCGATAGGAAGGGCCAGCTCCGGCAGGAAGGGGCGGCTCCGCTGTGAAAGGGAAGGATCCGGTAGCGGGGCCTGCCTGGGGTGGCCGGGGCTGTGAGCGCCTTGCCTGCCCTATCTCGGGAAGGAGATGCTGCCTGACCCACCCTGTGCTTCTGCCTGCGGAGGAAGCGCCCTTGTTTCTAAACGCAGCGTGACAAGCCAAATAGAGCAAACAGGAGCAATGCCTTTAACAATCTACAATAACCATTCTTAAAGATCAGCGGTAATGCCTGCCCTGCCTTCACACGCGCAGGCTGCTCCCGGCCTCACAGCCGCCTCACCGCAGCCCGGCCGAGCCCACAGCTCATCGCCGCTGCCCGGCCCTCAGCTCTGAGATGGAGACCAACACGAATGAACTAAGTAGTCCAAGCTCACAAGTGAAAACAGATCTCTGCAAGCTAAAGAAACAAAAATACTGCTATTAAAAATACAGTTTTCTGCTGTAGAAAGAAGGAGCAGCTGCGCACCCCCACGTCCTTACCCTTCACACCGCTGGAATGATGATGGCTGGGAATGAACTCAGCCCCAGGCAAACCCAGCCAAGGCTCACAGTGCCCCTGGAGCCTTCTCTTCTCCAATGTAAACACAGAGCTGGAACAAGCCAGTTAAACACCTTAATTCAGCCATGGCTTATAGGCTTTAGAGAAAGCCTTAAGCCTGAGAACACAAAAAATGATCACATATACACATACCTTGCGTATGCCAAAGTTTATTTTTTTCCAAAACCTGTTTCATCAAATATGTGGATATGAGCAGTTTTTTAAAAAATGAACAGTTTGCATATTAACAAATTGTGAAGTTCCACAATTAAAATATCAACACAGCCAGTCTTGTGCTTAGGCTTATTTTTTAAAAAATTCATAGAACATAAATCCTTAGATTTTTTTTCCAGTTTGTGGCTAGTATATTTTCCACACATTCTGTATTCTTATAAAATGAAGGAACTCACAGAAAGGAACATCTGTACAAGAATACATCTGAAAAAAAGCAACCTAAATTATCATAGCTCCTTTTAAATAAATATCCAATAAAAGGCACAAACCTGTTATGGGAGAAAACATAACATACAAAACAAGACCTATTAAATAAATAAAGTGTGGGTTGGGGTGAGGGAAATCTGTTCCAGCACCTATTTTGTCATTGCTCCAAGATGAGATTCCAGCCAAACATTTGGTAAAGGATTAAGCTTAATCACAAGGATACACATCTGAGATATACTGAAAGATTTGACGTTACAATTCCTGTTGTAACTGTACCAGTTACTACAATCTCTTTAAATAGATGATCATGAGAATCTGCATGAAGTAGTGATGCAGAAATGTACAGATCAATGACAAGTCAGATACATCTTCAGAGTCATAGCAACAGGTTTTCTATAGTCCTAGCTATCAGTAATGTATAAATGATAACATGTACAGTTTCCATTGCTCAAAAATATAATCTTTTCAATGGAAATAAATGACTGATACAGTGCCTTTAGATGTTATCCTTACAATACAAACTACCCCAAACAAAGTTTTCCTTTTTATGTACAAATTAAGCACCGATCCACAGTGCATACTATTCTAATTGTAACCCCCCCCCAATCCCTGCCACACATCAAAATATCCAGCTGGGGATAGATACACCCTGTATTCAATCTTGTAGTCAGAAGTTCTGTTGTTACTTTTGTGTGTGTGGTTTTTGCTGTTTGCTTTGTTTTTTTTCTTAAACAAAAGTCCATTTGTTATTTTACCTACAAATATTCCATCACTATGTGCACAGAACAGATTTTTCTAGTACACATGCCCAAAATTTATTTTAAAAAAAAATCAATAACTTCTTGGAGGCAAAGTCAAACTATATCTAGAGATCATTAGAAAACCCCAGTTATTTAGAGGTACATGTTCAAGTCCAAGAGGCCTCACACAATCCACCTTTCCCAAGTCCCTCAGAAGCCATCCAATGCATGTTCCATGAGAGCCTGCCTGTAGCAGCACCAGCTCCCAACAGTGAGGCTCAAGTGACCCACTAAAGTACAATAATGCAAAGTGTACAGCACAAATCAAAGTCTTCCTCCTTGTTCAGACAAACATGGAGAGACATCTTAGTCATCAGCTTCCTGAAGTATTCAGAACACCACTGTGATCCAATGAGTCAGAAGAAAAATCACATTTATATACATCTCTCTTCACTCCTCACAACTGCTGTTTGCAGTTTCTGCAGGCTGGTACAGTCACCCTCAAGAACAACCCTGGTGTTCAAAGTGGGGTTTTTTTGTGGAGAATAGCCATAAAAGCCTTGACAGCATCCTAAGTCCTTGGTTTTCACTTCTCATGTATGTTATTTAAACACATACTCTGCCATTTTGTGTGTTCCAACACATGCACAAGAAAGAGTTGGGCAAAACCCAGTCCTGTGCACTTGTGTGCAGAGAGAAGGTACAAAGTGATCTTGCTTCACAAGGATCAAGCTGTAAGCTGTGTTTCAAAGCAACAAAAGAAGGTAGGTTATAAAGTTCTTAAAACATACTTTGTGGCTGTTTCTCCTTTTTTAATACTAATAAGTTGGTATCAGACAGCTTTGCTATAAGAAAGCAGACCAAAAGAACCATTAAAAGATCAGAGCAAATCAGAAGTAGTGCAAGCTGTTATCCAGTACTAAATCCATTTCTGAGCCAGGTATATTCCAGATATTCAGAATGCTCTGAAATAAAGTTATAACAAATATATACTGCTTGCCAGGCATTTATTTGCATATTTTATTAAAATAATGTGTTATTACTTATACAACTCAGTATAAGAAAGAGACCCAACAGCTTACAGTGCTAGGAACTGCCTGCCTGTAGCACTCTCACTTCTGCCATTAATGCCCAGACATTTATAACTACATGGACTGATCTAATTTGAACACAAGACTTTTGACTGCTGAATGAATCTATGGAATTCACTATTTCTTAAATAAACAGTCCCATCAACACAACGACCCATTCTAAATGGCATCTATTCCCTCAGCATGTGGAGGGCAACTATAGGCACTGAAGAACTCATTGGCTTAAAATTGTACAATTGTTCAACCCAATAAAGGTGGATTAAAGCTTGAAGCCCTTTGTAATTCAAACTTGAACATTAAACTACCATATACTGAGTCCAAATCCTTTCAAAATCAATATACATCAAGGAATACTGAGTTTTAAATTTCTGCAAGGTTTCATTCTCCAGGAAATCAGCAGTTACAGATTTCAAGGGTTGAGGAGAGGAGTTTTATTTTGCTACTTTTGTATTGATTCATTGGCAAAATATTTACCATAGGGTTAAGAAATACTACTTTTGCATTCTTTGGACAGAATTAAGCATTTTGAAAAATAGAAGGGTTGTTCTCACTCTGAGGAATGTGCTTTATTTAGAAGTTCTCTACAGGAGAGTTTGACAAGATTCTCAGACCTATCTGCATTTATGGTGAGAGTGAGAGATATTTCTGCAATTACAGACTCTCCCAAAAGATAGAAGACACGCTATGCTGGAGGTCTATTGTAACAATGGAAAACTCAGCTTTAATATTAATCATTATTAGAAGCAATTTTACAGGAGAGCTTTTCATTGCATTTTGCTACAAAACTTCTGGAGGAAAGGTTCCCACTTTTATCTACTTTATTATAATTAATGGGTTTTTTTAATGCTATCACTTTTTATCAGACAGTGAAAAATACAAGATAAGGCATTTTCATAGCCAATTTCAGTTCTGGAGGAAGATTCTTAAGTACAAAATATGTTCCAGAAGTCTGTACACATCTGACCCATTGTGAACAGCAATATTTCATAAATTAGTTGATTTTAAAGATTTTCCTCTCAAAAAGAGTCCAAAGAAACAAAGCATTTTTACATTGAAATTACTACAGAAGAAAAAGATTACTGCAGCATCAAAGAAACAACTATCTAAAAGTTTACATGTATTTACACATTTAAAAATAATTATTTTTATATGGTTTACAACTAGGTTCTTATTCCAAAAAAGAAGCACAAGCTATTCTCTACAGCTGGATAATTTCAAAATAGTTGCCAGTTCATGAGTGTCAGCATGATTGCAGGGTTTGAGTATTTTGACCTAATGGACTTTAGAAAGAAGAGTTGGCTCTCCTGCCTCTCTGCAGTTATCAGCAAGGCTCCCAGAGTGCTGCAGTGCTGGGGCACTGACAGACCCTGGCTCCCAAGGCTGCTCTCCCCTGAGCCCCTGGGAGGTGCCACCTGCACAGAAGGAACCTGCAAGTGCAGCTGCTGGAGCTGCATGAGCTGTTCTGGAACACTCATTTCCCCATGTCCATCACACACTTGCAGCCTTGCAGCTGCTGGCTCTTTTTACTTAGCCCTGTAATACTGACATACCAAAGGAGCAATTTATTATTTTTACTATGTCTGTGTAGTATGTGTCTTGATGGTTCACAGCATTTCAAACTCGCATTTAAAGTTTGCAAATTACTCTAAGTTATTCTAATGTGAAAAAGCTGTCTGATTTCACACAATGTTGGCCTTATGATAATGCAAGCATTGCTCTATCAGAGTATTTATTAGAGCACATACAAATTTTATTGCTCAACTTGATTTTGTGTTGTGTCTTGGTTACAGCAGCCACAGAATTTATGAATA